AAAAGGAACCCCGACTAGTTAGACATGTAGGGCTCAATAAGCCACAATTTTTCTATTGTACTAAAATATGTTGTTAGAAAGACATGAAATGTTGTCATTGCTTTAAATTTCTTCAATGTTTACAACGTATTTTTACCACAGGAGGCCGCCATTATTTTACTCGCGCAATGCATGCCGGGGTGATGACGTAGAATGGTTGCTCTGTGAGTTGTTTACCTCATAGACATATATGGTTTACCTGACGGCTGCTGCTACCTGAGAAACCAGAGAAAATGCCACATTGCGCTGCATTCGGATGTAATTTCCAGTCGACAACAAGGGAACTGATTGAACAAACAAACGCCAAAAACAGGAGATGCTGGATGCTCTCTTGTGCCGCAAAGAACCCGCTCCTGCTGCTGTAGCTTCTGAAGGTGAACCATCAGACACACCACTGGTTATGGAGGAAGCTGACAGTCCACCCGTTCAATCCGTAAGTGTAAGTGTACAGTGTTCTCCAAGTAAGTCCGATGCAGAGACTCAGACGGATAATGTTAAAGACACGTCGGATGCAGCGTGTCGCAGCGTGTCGTGTGCTGTGATGCACGGGATATCTTCAACAATGATCAAACTCGTAAGCATCTTGTCTGTGTTTTACTGTGTATCACAACATATAAAGCATATGACAGTGGTGGATGCTAATCTCTGAGATCATTGATACTGGATGACATTTTACGGTACCTTGAACAGCTGCTGACAAAAATTGAAGCTCCTGACAACACACGCTCTCTCGCTCGGTTGTCATGGAGATGCAGTTTCCGCACTGACACCAGCTGTTTTGTCCCACTCACACCTCATGTCTCTGTTCGTCTACCACGTCTTTGTGTTCTTCCTGTATATTTTCTGTGTTGTCGTCCTCGCTGGCTTGTCGCTCGGGTTCAAATTGAAACGGCTGAATAGCTGACATTTTTCGCACAGTTACCAGTTGTCAGAAACAGCGGTTGCAACCATTTGACGTCACTACCCACACTGCATTGCGACGTAAACAACAATGGCGACCTACGAGTGAAATTATATTTTCTTTTTTTTTTTTTTAGAACAGACTTCTACAATGTTATTTATATCAAATTAATATAATGGACACTAATATTGATGATATAAGGCCTACATGTCTAACTAGTCGGGGTTCCTTTTAAGCTCCTTCTGAATTGTCATCTGCAGTGATATCAAATGATTTTTTGCTTAAAATTTGGAAACAGCTGAAATAAAATGTATGGACCCCTTAAGTTTCTTTAAAAAAAATAGAATATATATTGTGCTCACAAGATAATAACTGCACAAAATTGTAAAGAACAACAACTTTGCTCTAAGCTCTGTAAAAAAATATAGAGACCTACAGAAAATCTATTAAACCAAAATACAACACAGCCATGAGCAAAATGCCCTATATAAATAAACTCTCATAAACAGCTGGATGATAGAGTAAGAACTCAAAACAGACCTTTAAAGTGTAACGTTGAACGGTTAACAGTTTTTCTTCCTTACTTCTGTCGAGTCCTTGCAGCTGAAACAGAATAAGAATTAATTAATAGACGTTTTTTGTCAGCAGGTTTCTCTTAAACATGATGTGTTATGAAAGGTATATTTACCTGTATCGCGAGCACAGTGACAGTGAAGTCTCTGCAAACTGCTGAATCATTTATAGGATTTGAGAGAGAGGCAGACGGTTAATTCATACACGGTTACTGTGACATCCAATCATAAGTTGCCACATCATCAAGTCCTGACTTGTCCTCGCCCCTTTTCCTGCTACAGGGATGGACCATCTCTGGAGTTGGGCCAGCAGCACACCCAACCACCTCCAAGCAGGTAGCAGTGCATCTTGCCAACCATGGCCAACACCTGACGACCTCCCCTTCCCCCCTCAAACAAGTGTGTTACAAGAATCAACTCATATCTTCGCAGTAGACCAAAGAGGAAGACATTTTTAAAAGTCTTTGTGTGTTAAGTTCAGCACTTTTTCAGCTCCTAACTGAATCTCTGTGGCTTCAACTTTAGTTTCTCTCCTGCCGTTTGTACTTTCAGATATCTGCTTCATGTTCACTGTCAGCTGTATGGGAGTCATGATGAGTTACTGCTGGTGAAAACTCAACATTTTCTGTTCATAAGAAATAGACAGGGACCTTCAGCTGTGAATTGGCCGCTGCTTTTAAACATCATCATTACAGGACAAGCCATCATCCAAAAACTTACTCCATAAGTCTACTTTATCTCAGGCTTCCCTCGCAAGATTTGTATATGAGAAAGAGATTAAACAGTCACATCAAAAAGACTCTGTATTGTGTGCCACGTGTCATGCAGGTGCATTTTACATGCAGAAGATAAAGGGAGCTAGTTTCCATTTTTAAAACCACAATGCATGTGGATCTTATTGGTCATTACTGACTGAACGTCTCTGGTAAAGAGACTGGCCTTTACAGCCACTGCTACAAAAAAGAGAATTAGCAGTGGCTTCTAGAAAAAGGTCAATGACCAATATAAACATTATTATTGATCTTGTTTCCAATGTTTATCAAACCTTACTGTCAATTATTACACATGACTATAAAAAGACAAACAACTGTAAGCTGTCAAATGTATTTTATTCAACAGGAAACAAAGGCACACAGCAGCTGTTTAAATCAGTTATCAAAGTGTACTATGTCTCTGTCAAAGTGCACAGGAAAGCCTTGCTCACATCTGATTGCAATTCTCCTGGTTCAAGCTTGACCGTTGTACTGACAGTGGGGGCGCCTGGCCCCTTGGTTTCTCAGTGTACAGACAACAATGTCGAAGGGTTGGCGGTTTTTGGTCATGACACCATATGGCTCTCCTGCTTGACCACAAATGGCTCTGACATGGTTAGTGGTGGAACGGATGAAGGTATTGGTCTCCTTACACAGATTGCTGTCGATTAGGGTAATGCCTCTTCTTTGTATCACCTGGTCACACCTGGTAACACTCATATGCCTATTGATATGCTGTTCTATGAACTTCCTGTAACATGGAGCAACGCTGGCATTCTGAGAGAGCGCAGTGGCAGAAAGCAGCAGCAGACAGGCAAACTGGAACTGGAAAATGAATGATAGAATGAAGTGAGTTTTATTACCATTACAACAATTGCACTTCTTTGTCTTGATGGTGTAAATCAGAAAGACTATAACAAACAAACTTATAGCCAAAGCAGCACACGACAGACACAGAACTGTTTTGACTGTGTGACAATCACCAGGCGACATGTTGGAGGCTGAAATATTAAGAAAAACAAATCGCAAAGTTAACAAGGGTTAAAAGTGTGGCATTAATCTTTAATGCTTCCTCTTGGTAAAATTGTACATATCATATATTGACTTCTAACAGATTAAATATGCAAAATGGTTGTTACCTTGAATGTCCAGTTTTGTTCCATTTCCAAATAATATCTCTCCACATGTGGCCACAGCGCAGTAATAAGTCCCGGCATCAGAGGAGCTGACATTCTTGGAGAAGCTGTAGACACATGTCTGTGGAGATCCAGCTTCAGGACTCTTCTCACACTCAACACTGTTTCCATGAGCATAAAAGACATTCAAGGTTCAAGGGTCAAGGTAACTTTATTAATACCCAAATGTAGATTTGGTTGCAGTTCCGGGAGACAAAACCATTGGGATGAGATTCATGAGATCCAGCTTTGAACCAAAACACACTGTGATCTTCTGGACATGTTTTGTTCTGAGTCAGAGAGGACTGAACACTGCAGAGTCAGTGAGTCTCCTGGACGGACTGGATCAGATGGTAGGTCTTGAGTGACGGCACTGATATCAGGTTCTGGTCCTGGGAAATGACACAATATTTTTGTAGAATGTTTGGTAAGTAGTCAACTGCTTATTCAAGGTAACTGTTCCAAACAGAAGTTGGAAACTGAATGTTTGCTATCAGCAAAGTGTATACTGCTTCACTTACCCTTGACTCTCAGTAAGGCTTTATTCAGAAATGCCATCTTTAGTTCAACCACTTGTTGGCAGTAGTAAAATGCAGCATCACTCAGCTCTGTTTAGGTAATATGTAGAACAAATGTTCCAGGCTCCTGTTTGGTTGTAATGCGAGGAGCCTTATTAACAATTGCACTATCGAAAGTATAAGTTGCTCCTAATAATTCAGGGAAGTTTCCAGGTACAACTCTCATCCAAAGTAAGACACCTGCTAATCCAGACTGGCGGCTACATGTTAGAATCACATCTTCTCCAACACAAACAGTCTTTGTCACAAAGCCTTGGTCGTCTGTGTCTAACTGAATGTCTGCGGCTTCAACTTTAGTTTCTCTCCTGCGTTTGTACTTTCAGATATCTGCTTCATGTTCATTTTCAGCTGTATAGGAGTCATGATGAGTTACTGATGGTGAAAACTCAACATTTTCTGTTTATAAGAAATAGACAGGGACCTTCAGCTGTGAATTGGCTGCTGCTTTTAAACATCATCATTACAGGACAAACCATCATCTAAAAACTTACTCCATAAGTCTACTTTATCTCAGGCTTCCCTCGCAAGATTTGTATATGAGAAAGAGATTAAACAGTCACATCAAAAAGACTCTGTATTGTGTGCCACGTGTCATGCAGGTGCATTTTACATGCAGAAGATAAAGGG